CGATTATTTTTCATGTACCAGGATACTACTTAATTGAAATAAAATGGAACGAGAAACCAATTTTTCTTTTTTCAGTGAAGCTTAATCTTCTTTAAGAGTTAACGCTTTCCAAATCTAGTTTTACTTCTAGTAAAGTATGCATAATATTATATGAACATTGTTATGTAACATCACGTAATGCATCAAATAAACTTCTGTTATTTATTCCATATCTTTTAGATAAATTTCTGTACGATTTTGTACTAAGTTGAACCGCGTCTAATTTGGTGAAACTAAGCAGTGGGCAATTTTTCGATCGGTGCGGAAAATGCTCATATCTAGCGGAAAAATGTCGTTCAGGTCAAAAATTCTTGTTCCTTTTCTTTCTGTGTATACATTAGTATAGAAAATAGATATACGATCCCAACAAAGGACAAAAAGTATACGGTCGGAATTTCTTCTATCGCTTGTGTACATTTAGATTTCTGTTCTGATAAAGATTCTTTTTTTTTATAAAACTTATTTGACTTAAATGCATACAAGAAACGTTATACAACTATTGAATTAGGTAGAGACATGTAATAGATATATTTGATGTACGACAGGACATTTTGTTTCAGCAGCCTTTTCTATTCTTTTTAAGATATCTTCTGTCGCAATATCTATTTCATTCAGATTCATAGACGGAATGCTTCGATAAATTTAAACTAGATACATTATTCTTTTCTATAAATGTCCAACTACTAAAATCACATGTATTACACTATTAGATACAAGTAACGAACAATATGATTTTATTTCCTTCAGCAGACTTTTCTGTTCTGCTGAAGATTTTTCTTCTTGTCATTTATTCTATTCCAATCAAAATACCAGCCAAGTTAAACTTATACTAGTAGAACTTGAATGAAGGCGAAAGATGAGCTTTTAGCAGAAGTATGATTTCTCTAGAGTGGAAAAAAATATGTCTTTAACTGGCCGAACTATATATTGCAAGTTTAATTCATTAACCAAACTAGACCATGAATTTTCATGTTTCACTACAAAAATTGATAATCGTGCCAATACATATAAATATCTGCCGTACGCGAGCCACAACTGTCGAAGACGAAAAACAGGAATTAGTTTCGAAACAGGGGAACCCGGCGAACAAAAACAATAATCATCTATTGAAATATGAACCAAATCCTACGAAAACAAAACAAATCCATCGAAACTCTACTGAGCAATTTAATAGCACTGCTTATTATTAAACGAGTACTCTAGTCGGAAAATAATAACGACCATCGACACATAAGAATCATTTTTTCGCTGTATCATACCATTGTTCTGAGAAAAATCGCCATTTATCTCATTGTTGTTCATCTTTCCGCTGAAAAAAATGATTTTTCTTGTAACTGGGTCTCATTTAGCTCTCTTATTGAGTTTTTCATGGGGAAGACATCATTTTTTATCTAAAGATCATTTTTCTGCTAGAAATCATCATTTTTGTCACCGATTCAAATATTGCTCAACCCTCATGCAACTAAGAATAGAAGAGAAAGAAAATTCAAACGTAAGAAAAACGTTTTGTAACTGACCTCTCTCTATATTCACTTAGAGTAATAGTTCGAAAAACATAATTAATATCCGCTTCAAGATGATCATGTTATATACCAGACATGTGACAAAAAAAGAGATGCCGATACCCTTTTCTTAAATCGATTCAAAAACATATGAATTGAATAATCATCAAACTCAGTAACATCATTACCATTTACATTGATGATTACACCTAAAGCTGGTTTTATGAAAAAATACGTTATTGAAGCAATTAATAATTACTGTACCACCAGTAGAAAGCGTATTTACCACCATTAAAAAGTCATCAATAATATGACATAACGGATTGTACTTTCATGTCCACTTTAGATAAGCTGCGATGAGTCGTTTTGATGGTTGCTTTGAACATGTCTCGCACGATCAATCATAGAATTTATTATTGTTAAATCGTCTGAATCTATTTCAATTTTGAGATTAGTTGAATTTTGAAAATTCCGATGACTTATTGCGAAAAGGCCATCATGAACGTCTTTGATACAATCAAGACCATAGTTACGTGTTCCATATTGTAGATCAGCTTGAACTTTCGATAGATGTCGATAATTTTTAGGACTTCTTTAAAAAGGCACATATTGAGTATCTGACTGTTTTAGTTTCTTTGTTGTTCAGTTTAGCTTTAAGATGCACTTGGTATGATCAATTTATAGGTTCATGCATTGAAGATATTGCGTCGATTTTTTGCTTTCGAATCTGTCTTGACATAAGTCGATCTATACAGGTATCTAGATCATCAACATTCTATAACCTTAAAGATATGAGATACGTGAACTTTATCAAGTTAAATTTTTAAATGAGATTTTTCGTCGAAATAATGAGAAAAAGTTCGATAAGACTTGCAGTAACATATTCGATAGTAGTTTAGGATCGATAGAAAGTTGTTTGACGAGTAAGCAACAAATACAATATAGATTCTTCGAATACTTTCAAGTTTTCTTCCTCGATGAAACTCTTCGTGTCATTAGTATTATCAAGTAATTCATTTTCGAGACTTTCATCATGTCGATCACCGTGTTTATCTGGTAATCTAGGTTTGAAAATTGGTCTTCACTAGCTAGACTTGATAAGTCGTCATAATCATTTCTTTTCTACTTTGTTTTTGGCCGCAGTGAGAAAGTCTTGTGTGATAATGAGGTTTTTTCTGAATTAGTTTCTTCCTATCAAAAAGAAGGAAGATTTTCTTCATATTTTTAAAGTGTCTGTGACTTACGAAAGCAGCTGCTACCTGTTAAGGGCTATGATTTTGCTTGAAAGCTTGAACCTGTTCACTATGTGATATCTATTGAACATGAATACAGTACAGAAAACATAAGCCGTTTAGGGGATACTGTCGTTAGTGCAAATCTCTGCTGTGAACCTTATACTACGGCATTGTCGAGGTTGTAGCTCTACAGTGATTGCTATTTCTTCTTCTGCTTCTTCATGCTTCATTATGGAGTAAATATATGTGGTGAACACTGTCGTTGATAACGACGCACATATACATCTTGCGTAGCCATTGGATTGCAGTTGAACTAAAAATGGTAGCCGGAGATGCTCTATAAAAACTGTTTCTGTTTCACTCACATTATTTTCTATGAGGCATATTTGCAGTTTTCTCAATGATTTCTCTCTACTTTTGGGTGAAGCTTTTCACGAAAGTTTACTAACAAGCCGTGTCTCGAATTTAAATGTAAGACTAAACGACAAGAGCATGAACGAATATTCAAGAAAATTCGGTGTTCGGTTTTTTTGGTCATAGTCGAATAATATTGCTGTAAGACGATGGCTCAAAGGGATGATGATTCACGGAGTTGATGATTTAATCACACAAGGTTTGTTAACATTACCATAAGCGGGCATCATGTTGACACATGTGAAAATATCGAGGAGAGACATAAAAGGTGAAAAGAAAAAGAATCGTCATTCGACAAGCAGCCAAAGATCTGAATAAGACGAGAACAGAATTTTTTGTTGTTACACATTGTATTCTGAGCAGACGATCACGTTTTCTGACATTTCCAGATTTTATTCGACATTAAAGCCAGTGTGTCAATAGACGAAAAATGACCGGTACTACGATTAAATCCAACGTTTGGATGATTGATGTGATGAAGAACTACCTAACGGAAAACTTTCAAGCAACGAATGAAGAAATCGACTATCTGAAACATTTATGCGGACTTAGATCAAAACAGAGGGATTCTTCAAAAAATCTTCAAGGTGCTAGAAAACCGTCTATGATAATTGACGATTTTCTCTATAATAATTATTATGTCATTTCTTATAGTACACTGCCATGTTGAAACGGACGAAGACAGATAAGGTCATTTTTCTACTCACGATAAAGCGGACTTTTTTTTTGACTTGCAGTAAGGTATGATGCCCGATGATATTGCCTAGGTTTTTTTTCACAAATGACTGAAAGACTTTAAATAAACAAGAAAAACAATCTTTTTCAGAATCAGAAGCTTCTTTGACTTGACAATCAGTTTTGATCGATGCAGCTTATTTATTGATTATTCTAACAGCATGAAGAAAATATTCGTCATAGATAAAACAACGCAGTTTACTTGAATTTGAACTACTAAAACTCCTTGACAATATAATCAGCTGCAAAAAGAACGATTATCCTATGTGTATGTCAATAGAGGTGGATGTGTAGATGTATCATGAAGGAACTGGATGCAAGGATAAAAGCACGACACACATATGTCTGTAACTGCATTCACTAGCATCCACACCTACACCTAGGAATGATTTTTAACTGTACGTTTGTTGAATCTCTTTATTCAGAAAAACAGTGGATTACAAAGCAACTAAGCTTCGTATCTTGATATTCAAGAATATAGTTTATCAATTATATACTAATAACCAGAAGCTATATCCTACGTCAAAATCGCTCTATGGAAAAACACTTAACCTCAATCTTAACTTCAATTAGAATGTTAAATAAGTGACTGAAACTAAAAATTACATAGAGTATCGTTCTTTCTACTTTTGAACCATCAGAAATTCCGTTCTGTCGAACAGGTCAGACGATAATCTTCTAAGGCGTCTAACAAACTGTTGAAAGTTCACTTTTGAAAAGTTTTCTTAACGTCCTAGTTACACTACAAAAACAATGCAAATGAAGTGTATTTTAGAATTCAGAAAGAACATCACGAGAAAGAAAGAAAATAGAAGCATGATGGTCATGCCAAGGAAAAAGTGTCTTTCTTGTTCTTTTCAATTTCATATTGTATTTTATGTTCTTTGAGATTTATTCAGAATAGAGAAGGAGAAGGAGACAAAGTATCAGCATCCTGTTAAACGAAACTCGCAAATGATCACATTGAAAATGCGGTTATAGTCAAAACCTTTGCGCGTAACTTTTCATCAAATCTCTCTGATAATCATTTAGTTTCAGTCCTAATGCGGAGTACTTCATTAAAAAATAATTCAAATTAGCAAATCATACTTATAACAATCAATAGAAAACAAGCGACGATGAATAGCTTCCGAACGATACCATTACAACTAGCTTTACTAGTCGCAAATGTACTAGTACCAGTTGTTTCAGTACTTGCATTATTCGAATTTGCATTTGGTCGCCAAATGTCCATTAGCGAAGGTGCTGTAACATCGTTACGACCTAAATTAGCCAAACCCCAATTCTCCTCCAGCAATTTCGTAAGTGAGTAATGATTGAATGTTCCTGGTATACTGACTCCAGAATACAAATAATATGTTCCCCACATAAACGCTGCTATGTGGTTGGTTCGATCAGGATTAATATTATCTTCATCAAAAGTCACAATTAATAATGTTCCATTCATAAAGACAAGATCGCTTAAATGAATATTCAACCAATTTTGTAAATATTTCCCTGCGTAGTTGAGATTTGTGTCGTGGGCATTATTTTTCATGTTTGGTGTATAGAAGGAGAATTGGGGCAACTGTCTATTTGCTAAATCGACTGCCAATTGTTCTGCATTTACTATTTTTTCACATTCAGTTATATTGTTTCTTACTGTAGTACTGAACATAAATGGATTATGTCTTCGAACATATAAACCACCTGAAAGCTCCATCCTATCGTTGCAATTAGGACTCGTCGTTGTAGGAAGTGATGTATAGTTTTCCTGATAACTTTTCCAGCTGACTCGAGCTCTATTTAACAAATCAATAATTGTCGTTTCACTTGTAGAAAAATAATTATTGTCCCTGTGATTTAGTGTGGAACCAGCGATCATAGAAATATAATTTGGCTGTGATGGATGAGTGATCGCATACATATTTGTAAACCAAGCAGAACTTTGAATAATAGATTGCCAAGCAGGAGAATTCATTGTTTGCTTGTAATCTTTGTTTTCCATGACTAAAATGAATATATGATCAAATAATAAAGGATTTGTAGCTGAAGCAGGACCCGATCTTGCTTTTTGCTTGATGATAATATTGTTCCCGCTGATCGCTGTTATTTTATACATCATCAAACAAACAGTCGCACATAGTGTACTGTATACCAACCACAACATTTTTCTAAAAACTTATCTGTAAAATATAAAAACAGATATTATAGATTGTATTGCATACATTTTTTGAATGGCATTATTTTCTAGAGTAAAGTAAAAGTTATCAGAAAAATGCTCATATTGTATTTCATCGTGTTAGTTCATAAGAAACCGTGCTATTTTTATTGCAGAAAAACAACAAACTACTCTACTAGCTATGTGAGCGTATTTCTCTCACTATCTCCATGGAGTAGAAATATGCAAAACAAAAATGATGTATTTTACATCATTTTAATGAGCTTTTTTCCTCAGAGAAACAATGATCGAATTAAAGAAATGACGTTTCTGATGATGGAACAGACAATAGCATGAATGTTTTTCAAAGTCATTTGAGAATTTTCAAGATTTTCATTCGTGAAAACGCAGAATTCAACATCATTTCCATGCTATGACAATCATTAAAAGTACATATTAAAATCATGCGAATAAAAGCGTTACACTTTCATCAAAGTCATGCCATGCAAAGCATAGTGTGATAATTGCGTAGGCTTTTTCTCATCTGAGTTTTTTGCAGAATCAGGTGGGCTAAGTTACTTGAACTTTCTACAAAGTTCAGGTTTCTTGGCCTTCGAAGGGTTATGCAGTGAACTTTTGAAAAATTCGATTTATTCTATACCACCTATAAAGTGAGAGATATTTTGAATAATAAATTTAACAATCAATGCTGTGAAAAGCAGCACACGACATTCTTCTCATCTTTCCAGATTCCTTTTTGGTAAAACCGTTTCTTGTAAGGACAAATGCATAGATCAGATATGTTACATTCAAGTCATTGATCAAAATAATTTACACTCAATAACAGAATAGAAAGTCAACTCATCTAGTACCTTGTAAAAATTTGGTGATTCGAATAAAATTCGAATGAAACTAATTGGATAACTTTGATTTATTAATAAAAATCAAAGTCATACAATAAAATGATGCTAAAGTAATGAAGCTAACATAATGATTTTGATTTTTTTCGGGTAAAATGAAATTCATGCTATTAAAATGATGTGATGGCAATGAAAGTAATCCAATGGTTTTCATTTTTTCGGAATAATCAAATGCATGCATATTTTTAAATGAAGATTTTGAATATAACCATTTAAATGAAGTTGTTGTCTTGTTTTTACACCACAGATTTGTAGGTCTCACTCTGCCGAGTGGAGTGAATCAGGAAAGGATGTATGCATGTGTGATGAAAGATCACGAGAATACATAGTAATGAGTGAGAAATATGCGTGTTCTTGTGTATTTAAAAAAGTTATTTGTCAGAGTAGCCTCTTCGGAACCAAAATACTCGTAATTAATGTTCAATGCTGATGAATTCGATCTTAGTAAAAAAAAAATTAAACTTACAAAATATAAATACATTGAATTCACAGGTGAACTTTGGTTTTAACACGACTGCAACTGTAATAATTATGCATTAATGGAGATGAATATATATCGTTTTGATCGTTTCTTAACACCCCTTGTTTGCCAGTATCAAATCAAAAGCATAACAAAATCAAGTTGAACCTTGATTGAACAATTCAACGCATGACATGCACTTTTTTCGACTTTTTAAAATAAATTGGCAAGTATTGAAATAAGTAGAATATGTCGTAGTATCAAAATGAGTCGAGTTCTTGTATAGGGTTAGAATAAACCTTAGACTAATGTTTTCAATGGGAAAAATTGCACGTCAATTCCATCGATTCTTGGAACTGCAATCGATGCACTTCTACTCTATTAAACATAATCGATAGAAGGCCATGTTGTCCCGCATTAAAATATATGCTATTTACGTTTTAAAAGCAAATTATTTTTTTGAAAAAGAACCACAAATTTGCTTTTTCAAAAAAACAATCGTTTTCTTTTCAATGTAAATAGGGTATAAATTAACGCCTTCTTAAGCTTTAAAATGTGTCCTTGTCTGCCTATGTAGTCGTGTTGTGATAACACTGAAAAAAATGGCAGCTGCATCATTAATTGATGCCATGTCTGAAAGACTGAGTGACTTAGCCAAGTCAAATACAACATACGACTATGAATATATCATTCGAACTAGATGCGTTCGCTGGTTCTCGAGTAGGAACTACACTTACCGTATGAAGAATTCTGTTCGTGACTGACTACCGTAGACCAAAATAGATTTATTTCTATTGAATTAAATAGCATTGCTTCAGCCAGTGCACATATTTAATCTGTCCATAGATATAAATCAATATTGATGAAAAATATTCACCTTCTGAATTGCAAATGTTCGCCCACACTTAGACAAAAGATATATAATCATTCATGTCTAATACACTTTAATTTACTTGACGCTAAACTATTGACATATTGTGTGTTTCACTACCAAATAGGGCAACTAAAATCTGAACACGCCCTTATTAATCAAAGCAAATATTTATTTTGAGCTTTCATATTACAATAGACTGTATTTTGATTAGTCACTGAGTCAGAAGAGATTAATCAATCATATTTGACATACCTTCGTCGTCTTCAATCACTCTATAATCCTTCTATTTTCGATTGTATAAGTTTTCTGTACAAAGTAGGCGGAGCAAGTTTTCTTTTACAAAACTATGCGTTTTGTTTTTTAAAAACCTTGCTGTTTAGCATATTTGTAAAGATTTTCCCGAAATCCACTTTGAAATACTTGATTTGTCCTCCGTGGAGTAAGTCAGTTTGAATTCACGAATTGTTTTTTGGAGCACTTTGCCAAACAAAGTACGACGTAAGTTAAAGTCATGCAGCTGTATCAAATATACATCAAGCGTGGTAGATTGATAATAAAGATCTGAAGAAAAATCAAAGTCTGGCTAATGCTGTAACTTATAAAAGCACACAACTTTTCTGGTACTATCAATATTCCTTTTCATAATTCCATAGCAATCTAAAACGTAATAATGCATGATCAAAATGCTGACCGACTCCTCGTCTAATTAGCCTTATGCCTTATTCAGTACTCAAGTATTTATAAATTTCTTCTCGATACAAAATTTTTCCATAATGGCTAGTGTTTCTTATACCATTAATATCCCTATTTTAAAATTAAAGCAGTTGCTTTCATCACTGGCACAAATTTAGAGTGCACGACTATTCATAAGAAATTTCTGTTATATTATACATAGTGTTTGGGGTATTAGGTTTGAAGCAGCATGTCATTAGCGTAATCACGGGATTGTCGTGTTGGTTAATGTTCGCGACTTGGAACATGATGAAGAGGTGAGCAAAAAATTGAATATAAAACATATCGACACTACATTCGTTCTTATTATTTACATGGTTAATGGTTCTATTGCGTGTTTCTATCCACAACAATAGTATGGGAACAAGTGTCAATTTCACAGTGATGGATCACCACTCTCCTACATCGCAACTTATCTCATTCAACTATATTGACAACAGTGATAGTACGATAATATTAAAATTACTCGTCCTATTCTTGATATAGAGTAAAACATTTGCCAGTTATGAGTTACAAATTCGATCTGCAATCGATATTCATATTTATGCTAACAAATTCATCTAGTTTCACTATTCTCGAGTACCAGAATTGCTTCGACATAAGAAAGCATAGCTTTTATATATTTTTTGTGAATCTAAATAACATCCCTTATTTTTCAAAACAAACTTCAAACGAACAGTCCAAGATAAACATTTTTGTAGCACAACGTTTTGTCGAATTTCTATGATTTAATGTTTTAGTTCTTCAAAAGAGTATCTTTCGATGCTACTTCTCACCATTCAATACAATAACCAAGATCATCTTAAATTGAATGGCAATGATGAATTTAAATGTGAATTATTCAGTCGTCAATGTTTCTTGTTGATGAAAAGACGAAAAGTTGTTCTGACATCATTATTGTAGTAATTGAGTGATATGAGATTTCGCATTATCCTAATGAAATCACCAGTCTGATATTGATGGTCTTGTTTATCACAGGACATTATATAATGCTCAGTAAGTAATAATATTATTCAAGTATCGATAACATATGTATATGAAATCCTCTGAACAGATTGGAGATTTCATCAGAACAAGGCAAAACCTCATATCACGCGCAATTAACACAATTATGATCTCAGAAAGCTTTTCCTCTTTTTATCAACGAAGAGAATTGACCACTAAATAATTCACATTTAAATTCATTAAACCGTTCAATTTGCGATAATTTTGGTTATTGTTCTGAATGAAAAAAAAGAACATCGAAAGATACTCTTATTGAAGAAATGAGGAATGGAATCGAAAAATTCGACAAAAACGCGATACTACAAAATTGTACATCTTGGGCTGTTCCTTTGAAGCTTGTTTTGGAAAATTATAAATGTTATCTAGATTCACAAAAAAAATATCATTTTGTAGAGAACCGAAAGACGAATTTTTTGAAAGAAAAAATCTGAACAAACAAATAATAAAAGACATATAATTGAAATATTGAGAGGTTTATTTGTCCTGAGGCACTTAATAAAAGGTCTGGAATAAATAGAAACCAAGATTTTCAAGGAACGAATTCAAATGTCACTTGATCACAAGTAACCTATCAAGTTAACCCTTTAAGTGCCATGACTCTGCCTGTAAAAGAAACTTCTATAGTTTTTCATATTTCAGATATTCGTAGTGTTATATATGGAGTGTTCTCCTCCAAATATAAAACGGAGAGAAGATACTCTTTCTAGTATAGTGGTAGTACAGCTGTCTGGAAAGCAGAAGATACAAGGTTTGATTCCTTGCGAAAAAGGATTATTCTTTTGCTTCGTTCTGTTGTCATACCATCACGTTGCTGTCTCGTTCATAACAGATAGTGCAATATTAATATTTTCATCAAACTTTTGAAAAAATCTTCAAAGTCATTATCAGTTCATACCCGTATTGCCCTGCAGGAAGGATGAAGAAATATTTTGATTATCCTCATGAGAGAGTGCGAGTGCGGATTACAATTCGATTAAGAGCTGCCGCCAAATCAACTTTTGAAATGATATTCGGAGTCGCGCTTAACTTGATTCCAACTGAGAAAATCGAAATATTTTGCGGATTACCAACGGTATTATTCTCCCGCCTTCTTTTTATAATAGAAGAAGTGCCCCAAGAATCCATCAGGTTTACTACCTGAGTGACCTCATTATGGTCGTAACTCATATAGATGCATGGTTTGAAGTCTCTTCTATGTCATAGCGAAAACCGCACCTCGATATAGTGTCGTACTCGCGAATTATTCAAAAATTAAGATGCTTCAAAAAAAAAGAGAGTCGTGAATTCAGAATGCTGGTACTTAAAGGGTTAAGAACTAGTAAACTAAAAGAAAATTCATCTTTGTCATTAAATATGAGTATTAATTCAAAATCATCGCCGTCAAACCTCTTATGTAAAGTTTCTTCAATATACACCTGATTTAGCATGAGGAATTTAAAGGAAGAGCAAAAGAAACATCGTGAAATTCAAGAAAAAATAAAAAATCTAGTTCAAAATGACGCTTATGAAATTATTGGTGATATTATATACCAATTGGATCCATGTGATAAAATAAAAAATTAAACTTCCGTGGATCCTTAAACCAATGATTAATAAAGCGCTGTTCCTTTGTTGCGGTCATCACACGGCAGCACATCTAGAAACGAATAGAGTATCGCACATATTGATCAACAAGTATAATTAATGCAATATGCATAAGACAATAACTAATTCTATACAATCTAGTATATAATACTCAAAATATAATATACAAGGACAAAACAATGTGGTAAAATGAATATTATACTGAAACCAAATGAAGCAATGAATTTAGTAGGAATGGATAATAAGGACTCGACTAATCATCGTAACAACAAGACGTAATCGATATGTTATTATGATGACTGATTAATTGTCCAGGTTCGTGTTTGAAAGGATTAGGTCCCGTTTCGTCGAAAGCTTAATTGATTTTCCTGTTTCGTCGCAAATGTATTTTTCTTCCATTCCCGTTTCGTCGAAAGTGAAAAAACGACTGTTCCCGTTTCGTCGAAAATGAAAAAACGACTATTCCCGTTTCGTCGAAAAAAAAATTCTAATTAATCAATGAATAATATATTATATCATTTGATGAGATTTTTTCGTCATACTAATTACGAATAGTGCCTAATTATTCGTAGATAAGTTTATCAAAAAAAAATTTATTATAGAGAAGTTTTAATTTCATTGGAAATTCTTCCTTTTTACATTTCATTTCATCAGCATCATGATTATGTGATTTCTTCATGCTGGCTGGATTGGAACTATATTGTATAGGACGTCCAGGACATGAACGATTTTCACATTTCCAATAAACAGTTGTGTTTAAAATTTTGTTTTGTATGCAGCGAAAAGTATCAAGTAATAAAATTGGTTTATTACGTTTACTTTCAACAATAGATAGCATCTTTTTGTGTAATAATGAATGAATTTAACAAAAAAAATGAATTTTCCCTTTTTACTCCACATATATTTACTTTTGTAAAATCACAGATTACTACCTAGTATAGCGATATCAATTAGTTTCTTTTTAAGGAAATAGTTTAAGTCAATCAAAGAAATTGAGTTTATCACTTTGATTATACTTTTTTCATTACACTTTAATTTTTCGACGAAACGGGAACGATCGTTTTTTCATTTTCGACGAACCGGGAATAGTCGTTTTCTCATTTTCGACGAAACGGGAATGATGAAAAAAAAATAAATCAACTTTTTCGACGAAACGGGAAAATCAATTAAGTTTTCGACGAAACGGGAATCTACCGTTTGAAAGAGCGGTAGAGGCGAATTCAGTTCAAGAAGCAGTAGATTTTGTCTTGATATATGTTATCATTATGAAGCACTGGTACAATTAAGTTCTAATCTAACACAAGATTGTAATGATATTTTACAATCGATAAACTATGCATACAACATCAGCAAGTATTCAACAACAACATTAACACGATTTTATATTACGTTCGCCATAGAAAACCAATTGCTTATGGACCTAGAACAATTGAAGGTACCCCTTATGAAACTGATTCAATATTACGAAAAGGTGAAACAATCAAGAAAATTAATCAACAATCATGCGATGCTAAATATTCAAAGTGAAAATAAATTGGTAAAGAATCGATACGACCAAAATAGACTTGATCGGAAGTATATTAAGGTGATTTAGTTTCGGTACGCTTTGTTAATAAAATGTCAAAATTACAAGAAAAATATGAATATCCTTATCGAGTTATCGATCTAAAAGATCTCGTGAGATTTGTTGTCAAAATCGAACATCCTTATAGGAATGAAAACCCGAACTATACAAAACAAGTGACGACAACTAACATGAGACACATTCTTATTCATGAAAAATTTTAATTATGTTTTAGTTATTATGGTTATGGTTATCATTATTGTTAATATTATTTCGGATCAATGCGCACGATTACTTGTATTACGATTTTTCTTGTGGTGAATTATTTTATTCTAATCATTTAAAGTACTGTTTTTGATTGGAATTATTTTCATTAGGATCATTATTAAGGCAAACAAAGAAAAAAAGGAAAAGAAGAGATATAATATTTTTTGTCAGTCGTTTAGATTTTTTGTGGTAATAGTACTGTTAGTTTTCTTTTGGAAATCGGGACGATCTCTTGTTCAAGAGAGGAAGATGTTTCATAATGAACGAGTGATGATTATTCCTCAGTCGTTATGCGTTTATAGCTACTTGATGTTGTCTTTTTTTTTCTTTATTCTTTCTTTTCTTCATTAACTATGTCTCTTGTCGATATATTGCTCGTCTTCGTTTTTCTGTTAGCTTAAGGACATTTTTTCATGTACATTTTTCGACAAAGAAGAAGATCATACTGAATTTTCCTTTTTCTTCTGTTTGTATAAATTCTCTAATTTTATTCAATAGGCTTTTCCTTAATGTCATTTCATTTGGTTCGAAAAGTATATTCTATCTTACTGGATATGACTCCAATCTGTTTTCTTGTGACATCATTCCTTTCTCTAATGCGATATCTTCGATCACATATCATCGTCTCCTTATTAAGCTTATTTTTCTCTTTTGTTAACCCTGGATTTGTGATGTATATGCAAATATGCGTCTTTTACTCTATAATGCTGCTGTGGTCTAGATTTAGTTCTAGTTGTATGCTCGTGCATGTTTTCCATATTGAATTAATATGAAAATGGTTTCAAATGAATGCATCCTCTAATACAATCGTTCTCTATCCAAGAGAAATATGGATCGACATTTGTAGCGATACTTTTGTATCATAAGTTATGTAACGGCACCCGCGCCCTCAGATCGCACTACTTTATTCTGTAACGATGCACAAAGAAAAATAGAAAATTGGAATTCATTCAGCCAAAGATTTTTCTACAGAAGAATTTGAAGCCGATCAGGTGCTTATTTCATTAGATACTAGAAAAACTAACTGATAAAGGTACATATGCATAAATTAAATAAAAGCATAAGAGTCTCTTTAAAGTTCACTGGACAACTACTGCCATAAATATGCATTGAATTTATTTGCTCGTCGTCTTTTGTAATCCTGGGTGTTGAGAAACGATTGAATCACCACCATTACGGAATCTTCGGATGCACTGATTGCCGGAACACGTAAATCCGATACGGCAACATCCAGAATGGTTAGGACAACACACGGGAGCCGAAAACGGGCAGCAGGTTGTTTCATCACAGCACAGTGATGCCGAAGGACAGCAACGACCGTTCGTGCAGCGAGTACATGTGCCGGTGACCAAAGACAAATTCAAAACCAATATAATAAAGCAAACGATGAGCGTTAGCTGGTGACTATGTTGTGCCATGTTGTCTAGTTCGATCGTGGTGGTCGCTGGGTATGAGCTTGTTTCTTGCTGGTATTGAGTAGAGAAGCTGTGTTCCGTGTATAGCAACCTTAATAGTCACTGCTAGTTCGTGCGTTGTCGAAAGCTTTTATAGACAGAGTGTTGTTGGTGGGTATCGTCCCCCTCATCTTCCATACAAATCAATGTTGTTTGATGACAGTCGTTGTGTGACTGATATATAGTTTAAATAATGGAAGTCGGTGTTATCGAAGTGAACAACGCAATACCATTAACGTAATGGCGCAAGAAGATATAGCTATTGCGAATCAAGATATCATCAGCTTGCTCTTATGTAGATGCGTAATCAAAAGTCAACACGGAGATGGTGCTAGACAAGCAATGGCGATTATTCTTTTTCTATTTTCCGCATTATGCGTCTTTATGTTTGTGTGACAGTCGTAAATGTTTCTATCTGCTAACTTTTCTCATCTTTCTCTGTCTTCTTCGCATGCATTATACGAAAGGGCAAGACGTGGGCAACGTGTAAATTAATCGCACACAGGTCATTCTGTCTCTTGAAAAACAAGACACGTTCAATCTAGTAATTTCAATATGAATTTTTCAGCAATCGATGAAGTCAAAAACAAAATAGTAATAGAATTATAGGTTAATGTGTTGCTTTAGAAGAATTAAATAAACGCAGAGTTCTATTCGCCGACATGTCACGTGTTATTTATTAAGACACAAACACTCATTAGTACACTGTATTGTGATATAAAATACCAAATACAAAATAGATAAAAAACAATTTCAAAACAAAATAAAATTGAAGAAGAACCTCGAGAAGGAACAAGGAGAATCAATTTAAGAATTTTGTTTTCAGGTTAATTACCATTAGCTTCATATTAATTCGAGCTTTGTTAAATAATGATTTCCAATAAGAAATCATCAAACTTATCAATTTTTGTAAAGGCATTATATCTTTACTGAAGAAAACCAGATAAAACAAAGCATAGATGTTGTTCAACATCAATTGTTGTGAGTTAGTAGATGCAAAGTTTTAAAATGAGTTCTGCCTTCGTTCTGAGTATGAGCGTCTATAATACACAGCAACCTAAAATAGAAATTGTTACTATTAGAAACTCCAACAACTATGCGTGCAGTTTTACACTGTATATCTTTATGGAGCTGTATAAATAAACTTTTTCTCAAAAACAAGTAGAGTGTTTGTTGATACATTAAGACATGCTGCTTTTCCATCGACTTTCTATCGGTTAAGCTAACAATTTCAATCAATAAGTCAGGTCAAGTTGAAAAAAATCGATCAGTTCAAAGCCTGACTTTTCTACTCTTTCTGATTACCAAGCTAAAATTTAAAATCGAAAAATGATTTCATTTTGAAATGAAACCACATTTTGTGCATTCATCAAATGAATTACAAGAAGTATCAAGTCGAAAGAAATGTGCTATGTTAGTGGTCGAATTTCTGTTTCAGCTTGTACTCTGCCACAGTGAGATCAGCTGCTCGTGCTGCCAATGCATAGGCCGTCGATTGCGTATTGGCTGAGAACGAAGATGGAGCCACAGACGCATCAATGATTCTCAAATGTTCAATTCCTCAAATTTTCATATTGATTGGATTGACGACAGACAGCGAATCTATTGCCATCTTACAAGTGACAATGTAATGAAATCCTGAAGTGGCATTTCGACGAATCCATTCAATAAGTTCGTCACGGGTTTGATAAGTAGAACCAGGTAAAACTTCTCGAAAATTCCACTTTACAAAACTTGGCTGTGTTATAAGTTGTCGACCAAACAAGATTAAATTTATTACCCGATCAAAGTCTGAGTCAACGGTCAGATAGGCAACATCAATTGCAGATGGTGCCAAGGGATTTGAATTCTGTATCATAACTGTACCTTGTGACTTGCATTGTTGAATATTGAATGACAGAACAAATGAGTTCTGCCAATCGACTGGCCACGAACTTCCAATCGTATTTCTTGTACTGAATAGCATTTCGATGCTCGTTAAGGAGTTTGTTCCATTCTCACAAGATGCTTGTTGTGTTGTGCTATTATCCACTGCAAATAAGACTGCACACTAAAGTAAAATATGTCACATTTATGTGTCGTAAATAATAGTGTCGCAAACTTAATGACGAAAATGTGTCGTGGCTAGAATGTGTCGTATATAAATTTATTTCGTTCTGTCTGCTGTCTGTTCATTCACCATTTTGTTTTGGACATACATCAACAAATAAACAACACAATTGAACACACGAAACCTGTACATTTTCATATTAACTATTTTTTTTTAGATTACTTCTCAATTGTTCATTAATCGACAAAATGCCGATCTTGATCGATGATCGAGAGACGACTACCTTGAAGCGGTTTCAGGGCGATCCAACCGACTCGATGCCAGACAGATCCCAGATCTGACCAGCTTGAGTTTTTCAGAATAAAAAGTCTGAAATGGAATAAAATCGAAAAATATATGATAATTTGCTTTTAAGAAAAGGAAATTAAAATTGCGCTGTATAGTAGATTCGAAACACTATTTCAAAATGTATCGTGCCGTCGGTGAATAAAATGTGTTGCAAC